AATGTCGACGGCAAGCAAACCTCAGAAATTCAGAGCTTTGTTCCACCCGACCACAGTTTTCATTGAGATGCAGCATGAGGCAGTGGGGGGACCATGGGCTTTTTGAGGCCAGTGAAGAGGCATCTTTTGGGCTCCCCTGGTGGTTCAGATGGTAAAGAATTCGCCTGCAATGCGGGAGACCTGGGTTCAATCCCTGGGGCAGGAAGATCCTCTGAAGGAGGGCATGGCAACCTGCTCCAGTATTCTCACCTGCAGAATCCCCGTGGACAGAGGAGCCTTTCAGGCTACAGTCCATGGGGTTGCAAAGAGTTGGACACAGCCTAGTGACTAAGCACAGCACAGCAGCATCTGTTACAAGGTGAAATGCAGGTGTGCTCTGACCCTGCTGTCCCTCTTAAAATAGTCTCTCCCATGGAAATACAGTACCCAAGGGCACACAGCTCTGTGCTCAGAAGTTTTCTTTGCACCTTTGTTTTTATAACTGAGAAACTAGAAGCAAACGGCATGTCGATCCAGAGGAGAATGAGCAAACAATTTATGGTATACGTAAAGCATCCACTGGAAAACAGGTTTTTTTAAAGAGTGGCATTAGGAAAATTTAATGGAGAAGCAGCCGTTCATTATCATGCAATCCCACAACCAGTTTTAAAAGTCTGTAATTGTGTGAGCACAAATGTGCAGAGAAAAATGTTCACGGAGACACATCACCCTGTGACAGTAGACACCTTGAAACGGAAAGCGTGGAATAAAGGATGTTATTAGCTCGATATACAACAGCATTTAACAATTCTTACAATTCCATTCATGGATAACTGGTGTAGTTCTTTTTGTAATGTTAAGATGCTATGCTTCACAGTCAGTCAGACTGAAGTTGACTGCCGACTCTTTCATTTAACCTCTGGGCTGAGTCCACTTAATTTTGAATGAGGTAATAATACCCAATGGTTTCCCCAGTGGATCGGCAGTAAAGAACCTGCCTGCCAATGCAAGAGACACAGGCAGGAAATACAAGTTTGACCCGTGGGTCAGGAAGATCCCCCGGAGAAAGGAAATGGCAACCTAGTCCAGTATTCTTGCCTGGAAAATTCCAGTCCATGGGGTCACAAAAAAGTCAGACATGACTGGGCGCCTAGACAGCAACAACAATAGTACCAAGTTTTCAGATTTGTTGTAAAAATGAAAGCCAATGTGTGTAAAGCACTGTGCCTGCCACTTAGGAGAGATGAGTGATGACTTGTTCTGATAACTAATCTGAAAATACCAATAATTTCTTGGCTTGGTGCCCCCCTCCTCCTGCGGTTTTTGTTACCCTTTTGGACCTTGAAATACATTGATGACCTTGTTGTTTAGTCACTCAGTTGTGTCTGACTCTTTGTGACCCCATGGACTGCAGCACGCCAGGCCTCCCTGTCCATCACCAACTCCCAGAGTTTACTCAAACTCATGTCCATCAAGTTGGTGATGCCATCCAACCAGCTCATCTTCTGTCATCCCCTTCTCCTCCCGCCTTCAATCTTTCCCAGCATCAGGGTCTTTTCTAATGAGTCGGCTCTTTGCATCAGGTGGCCAAAGTACTGGAGTTTCAGCTTCAGCATCAATCCTTCCAATGAATATTAAGGATTGATTTCCTTTAGGATTGACTGGTTTGATCTCCTTGCAGTCCAATTGATGAGCTAGATACACATAAATGAAGAGAAGCAGAACGAACCATCACATACACAGCCAGAGGACAGGCTTAAACGACCAAGAAAAGAATCCATAGCAACAACCAAAGTATTTTTTCAAACTCTTTAAATAGCTGAAAAATTAAGTACAAAAAAAAAAAGTTAAGTACAAAACCAAGAAAAGTATGAAAGAGCTAAAATGAAATTTGCACTAGGCAGTCTGCTTCAGCATCACAGCTCTTTACCACTATACTCCTATAGCTGTTCATTCCCTTCTCCAGGGGATCTTCCTGACCCAGGGGTCAAACCCACGTCTCCTGCATTGCAGGCAAATTCTTGACCACCTGGGCCACCAGGGAAGCCCTAAAAGTTAGTTGCTCAGTCATGTCTGACTCTGCGACCCCAGGGACTGTAGCCCACCAGGTTCCTCTGTTTGTGGAATTGTCCAGGCAAGAATGCTGGAGTGGGTGGCCATTCCCTTCTCCAGGGGATCTTCCTGACCCAGGGATCAAACTCAGGTCTCCCGTATTACAGGCGGGTTCTTCACCATCTGAGCCACCAGGGGGGATACCTGTAACACAAAAGGGTGAGAGGATCCCAGGTGCTCTGAGGAAGAATCTAAAACTGCGAGAAGATGCTGGTCTGCCCGGAGGGGATGCTGCAGGGCAGTAAGCCCTGCCAGGACAGGGCGGGGGCTCAGCATGTGCCTAGCTTTACACTCGAAGCTCACATTCTGGCCCTGCCACTTATCAGCTGTCGAACCCTGAGCTAGTCACTTAGCCTGCCTAAGCCTGTTTCCTCATCTATCAAATGGGGACCCCCCCCCCCATCCAACTGTGGAAAGAAAGAAGCTCTTAGATGATTTCACAGGACTACTGTGAGTGCTCAATAAATAGAAGTTACTTTCTCGTCATGAAGTTTGGAAACAATATGAGAAGCAGACAGGATAATGCCCATGTGAGAATAATCACTAAGTAGACAGTAACAGGACTGAAATCTCTAAAGCCAAGGATGTAAGGGAAGCAGGGGGAACAGACACAGCGGCCAAGTTCTACGATGCTCCCCACAGGTAGTTTCAGAGGAGTGAGCTTATTGACCTTGGATTGAAGCTGAAAAGGTATTATTGGGAGGGTCACTCTTACAAAGACACCACAGGTGACCATTGTAATTCAAAGTCCTTTACTTCTCCCATGCCTTGCCCCGAATGCCTGTAATTCCATCGTGGCCCTTTCTCTGTCTTTCAAAATGCAGACCTCTTGGTTGGATATCTTATCAAGTCACTAGCATCTCCAAGTGGAGAACTGGGTCAGATTTCTTTCCTCCTTGACAGGATCCAGTAAAGACAGTGGAAGGAAGCCATGAAAAATGTGAGGATCCTAGGGAAATGGATGAGAGAGAGGAAATGAGCAGGACGCCCTGGCGGCACTGTACAGGTTGTCAGGTTGTGCACTGCATAATAGGAGTGCGTTCACCACAGACTTGGTGCCCTGAAAACAAACGTCACCCACCTCACCGCTGGCCAGGAGCTGACCCTGACACAGGATGAAAATATAGACATTCCAGTCACATTTAGACAGATGTGTGAATGGCATATTGATCATTAATGTATTCCAAGACTAATAGCACTCTTTTGTATGATTTAAATCTGCTAAGGGAATTTCCTGGTGGTCCAGTGGTTAGTACTCGGCACTTACTGCTGAGGGCCCAGGTTCAATCCCCGGTAGAGAAACTAAGATCCTGCAAGTCTCACAGTGTGACAAAAAAAAATTTTTTTGCTAACAGAATAAAACTTAAATGTCCATGCACGCACACATAATTAACTAGATGGAAGGAATCCTTTCACAATGTGTTAATATATCAAATGATCATATACGTTTTAAATGTCTTGCAAATTTATTTGTCAATTATACCTAAATAAAGGTGGAAAAAAGACATTCTGAGAACCCTCACGTTACACAGCAGGCCTGCAACATCAAGTTTTGGGGGTGTTGCCCAGCCTGTAGAAGACATGTAGGGACTGTTTAGACAGAAGACCATGATTTAATTCTTGGCTCTGACATTTTCCAGCTATTTAACCTTGGACAGATCACTGATTCTCTCCAACAAACACCATAATCAAAGATGAGTCAACCACACATAAGCAAGGACATCAACCTACACTCCAAAAAGCTAAATGTACATTGACAGAGGAGTGGATAAAGATGTGGTACACATAAACAGTGGAACACTACTCATCCATAGCAAAGAATGAAATAATGCCATTTGCAGCAACACAGGCTGTTGAGTTTGAGATTGTCATACACACACTATTATATATAAAACAGATGACCCACAGGACCTCCTGTAGAGCGCAGGGGTCTCTCCTCAGTATTTTATAATAACCTATATGGGAAGAGTCTGAAAGAGAATGAATACGTGTGCATGTATCACTGATTCACTTTGTGGTACTCTTGAAACTAGCATGACATTGTAAATCAAATACACTCCAATAAAATTTTTTTAATTAAAAATAAATTACCATTTTAGAGATTTAGAAATTTTAGAGAGTTCCCAGTGGTCTTAGTGGTTAGGATCCCAGGCTTTCACTTCATAGCCCAAGGTTCAATCCCTGGTCGGGGTTCAGATTCCACAAGCCATGTGGGGCAGCCAAAAAAAAAAAAAAGATAAGTAGAAACAAATATAAAATAATGGCAAAAATAAAATACAGTAAAGCACAGTAGCCCTCCAATACGATAACCATATTTCCCCTTGTGGGGAAAATGGAGCAAAATAACATTAAATCAATGAAAGTGAAAAAAGTGAAAGTGTTAGTCGCTCAGTCATGGCTCTTTGTGACCCTATGGACTGCAGTCCACCAGGCTCCTCAGCCCGTGGGATTCTCCAGGCAAGAATTCTGGAGTGGGTAGCCATTCCCTTCTCCAGGGGATCTTCTGGAGGAATGGATGAAGACGACGTGGTACATATATATACAAGATAATACTCCTCAGAGTCAAACCTGGGTCTCCTGCATGGCAGGCAGATTCTTTACCACCTGAGCCACCAGGGGAGCCCAGTACTGGCCCCCCGAAACCTAAGCTTTTAGCATCATAAAAACATAGCCCCACCCCCAGGACAAATTGGGAAAGGTCAGTCACCTTCTACTGCCTCGGTCAGCGTTCTTACTGAACTCTGGGCTGGCTTTCTCCAGGGACAGAGCAACCTCAAGCTATTCTTAGTTCTTGAGTAGGTCTGGGCCTCCTCCCCTTTCTGTTTCTGAAAACCTACTCCTGTCTATAATAAACTTCTCCCTGAGAAGGTGTTGGAAACCGGTACTGCCCTCTCTCCTTCCCTCTGCAGGGCAGAGCCTCTGGGCTTTGAGAGCCCCAAAGAAGCAGAAACTCCAAGCCAAGAGCATTACCTGATAGTGGCATCATAGACAAAGTGGGCAGGTCCCCTGGGGACCATTTCGCCTACACTTGTTACCTGCATTGACACATGAGTGGTTACTCCCGTCTGTGAGTAATGCCTTTAGCCTTTTAGCCTTGGCTCTGGACCAGTTCAGCCTCTTTGACTAGAACTGTTTCTCTACAAAGATACCAGAAATCCAGAACCAGCCAGGCTTTGGAAAGAGTGTCAGAAATCCTCCACGGACCAAAGCCGTTCTCCACGGCATCGACTAAAAAGCAGAACAGATGCCTCTGGTGAATGGCTGTCCTCATGACATTTGTCGATTTGGCTTAAACAAGAGATTTGACTTCATTCACATTTACTGCCTCTTAAAATATAGAACGATATTGCCAATATGACTATTTAACTCAATTAGCCATGCTGTGAAGTCACGCAGCCTGAGCTAGAATACTGCCTGGGGATGGACAGTTTATCCGTGAGTGGAAGGTTTTACCCCAACTCCCTGCTCATACTTGCCCCATAACATGCAGCTACAAAGGCCATACTATTGTAAGCCGAGCCTCAGAATTAATGAAAAGATGCTTATTTGGCGCTTTGTTTGCCTGGCTCTGGAAAGAACGTATTATAATAAGCCTAAGATATAAAACTAAAGGTCAAAACTATGTAAGTAAAGAAGCTTCTGCCCTTTACAGGGAAAAAAATACATGTTAATTTTTGCAGGAGTTTCAGATGACTGTTTCCAAGGGAACAAGTATCTGAAATGGGTTTATCTCATTTAATATTCATGGCTGGACATGGGGATAGTCCTTTCCTGTTATCCCTTTCTGGTTACACATGATATGCTTATTCTTAACTTGCTTTTGAAGTGATCGTTCTATGTTTGAATCTCATTTCTTCCACAAACAAAGGAAATAAATGTTCATTCTCATGTTTTAAAATATTTTGTAAAATTAATAAGCCTTTAAAAATGAAGAATATTATGAATAGTGGTGATCACTACAAAAGAAAATAACAGTAATCGATTTGACATACTTTACTCAGATGAGTCAAAGGCTATTGAACTTGGCTTCTTGTTTTATTGCAGATTGGCTTACTTTTCAGTTTTTTCTTCCACTTCTATTGAGATGTAATTGACATCCAGCACTGTATAAGTTTAATGTGTACAGCATGATTTGACTCACATAATGAAAGGATGAACACAAGCTTAATAAACATCCCTCATCCCATACAGAGACAAAATCAAACAAATAAAAACAAATATTTTTCCTTGTGAGGAGCATTCTTTGCACTTACTCTCTTAACGACTTTCACCTATAACATACAATGATGTTAATTATGGGCTTCCCCGGTGGCTCAGATGGTAAAGAATCTGCCTGCAATGCAGACCTGGGTTTGATCCCTGGGTCGGGAAGATCCCCTAGAGAAGGGAATGGCTATATTTGCCATGCTGTACATAACATCCCTGATACTTATTTATCTTATTGCTGGAAATTTATCCCTATGACCCAAAACACTGTGTCAGTTCTGGCGCACGGCTTAATGATTCAATACTTCTGTGCATGTCCAATGGATCATGTTTACCACCAAATCTGCTTACTTTTGAGGTTGGTTTCTGTTTTCTCATTTGTTTTCTTTGTTTTGGTTTCTGTTTTTAAACGTTGAATTGGAAAAAGAAAATTGGTGGCAGGAGACTATCATGTCTGAAGTTTGAATGAGTTGTGTGTTTTCTTAGAAAATCTGCGAAGGCAAATGTATAAATTTCTCTCCATTCGATTTTAAAGTGATCTCAGCTTTACCAAAAAGTGGAAATGAATGGTGCAGAGAATGCGCATACACCCTTCACTTGGACTCACTGACTTGAACAGGTTGCCACATCTGCTGTATCATTCTGTGTGTGTGAATTCTATGTGTGTGTATATACATGTTATTTGTTTTTAGAACCATTTGAGAGTAAGTTGCAGATAGCATGTCCCTTTAAATATCTCAGTGTCTCCTAAAAGCAAAGAAATTCTCTTAGAAAACCACGGGACAATGATCAGGATGAGGAAATGTAACGTTGATGTGTACTATTAGCTAACCTACAGACTTCATTCAAATTTCACAAACTATCTCTCCCCACTCCACCCTCATAGCGCAGTTGGTAAAGAATCCGCCTGCGATGCAGGAGACCCTGATTCAGTTCCTGGGTCGGGAGGCTCCCCTGCAGAAGGGACAGGCTGCCCACTCCAGTATTCTTGGGCTTCCCTTGTGGCTCAGCTGGTAAAGAATCTGCCTGCAATGCAGGCAACCTAGGTTCAGTCCCTGGGTTGGGAAGATCCCCTGGAGAAGGGAAAGGCTCCCCACTCCAGTATTCTGGCCTGGAGAGTCCCCTGGACTGCAGAGTCCATGGGGTCGCAAAGAGTTGGACATGACTGGGCAACCTTCACTTCAGCCCTCCACCCCCCGGAGGAGAGGTCACGGCCGAGACCAGGCCCGAGGGAGGACGTGTCTCCGAACCGTAACTCCATCCCCGTCAGTCCTGCGCCCAGCCCCCGCCGCTCCTTAGACCAGCCTTGTTTTCCGGCCGGGGCGGCCCGGAGTGCCCCTTCCCTTGTGTTTTCGCGTCTGCTTGGTCTGCTCTACTCTGCCCACAGCCTTCCACGGTCTGCACGGCACTCGACATTTGCGAAGAACGCAGGCTGATTCTTTAGGATAATGTCCCTCCGTTTGGGTTTGACTGACGTTTCTTCATGATTAGGATCAGACTGTGCATATTGGGGAAAATTCTTTTAAAAAGTGTATCACCTGATATTTGTTCCTATAAGCATTTGAATTTAAGTATGATTCGGGAAGTTTCCTGTCTTCCCAAGCCACCTGCATCTTTCTGTCTCTCTTCTTGGTTTTGTTTTGTTTTGTTTTAATTCGCTTTCGGCTGCTCTGGGTCTTCATCGCTGCACGTGGGCCTCCTCTAGTCGAGGGGCGCGGGGTTCCTGTTTGCAGAGCACTGCCTACAGAGTCGGACACGACTGAGGTGACTTAGCAGCAGCAGCAGCAGCCTCTGAGCACTGGCTCAGGGGTTGTGGTGCACGGGCTTAGGCGCCCTGCGGCGTGTAGGATCTTCCCGGACCAGGGATGAAACCCGCGTCCCCTGCGTTGGCAGGAGGGTTCTCAACCCCTGGGCCACCAGGGAAGTCCGACTCCTGTTTTTCTCTTTTTCTTTTCCATTACGGTTTATCCCAGGATACTGAATAGCGTTCCCTGTGCCACACAGTAGGACCTTGCTGTTTCTCCTATAAACTCTCTATATGTAGTTTACATCCACTAACCCCAGCCCCCCCAACCCTGCTCCCACAGTCCCCCCCACCCCTTGACAAGCACCGTCTGTTCTATGTCTGAGTCCTCTTGTGACGCATCCATTCCGAGTTCTGAGGGCGAATGTCTCAGGAATGAATGTTATTGGTTGTTTTGTCACCTGTGACCTTTTTAAGGTTGGAATGACAGAAAGATGCTTACCTGGGGGAGTCTCTGTTTGTAGCAGGACAGAAAGCAGATTCTCTGCCATTCAGAGACTTTTCTGAGGATAGCAAGGACATATGGCCTCTTTTGTCTCTTGTCCTGTTTAACTGGACATTCTTTTTTTCCCCCTACAACGCAAACCATAGTAAATTACAAGGCAACCAAGAATTGGGATATATTTTAGGTTAATCTTGATACTTGTAGTATATCTTTTGCAGCTCTTTTGGCACTTGAAGTAGAACGAAGAATTTTGATTCGCCAGTTCTAGATCTGGTTTTCAGTGTACCACCATGAAGTAGGTTTTATTTTTGAAAATATTTACAAATCCTACTTCATTCCCCTCACCCTTCAAGGCCCAGTTTAAACATCACTTCCTCTGCAATTCTCCACTGCCCGTCAAAAGGAATCGTGTCTTCCTCATGATGTCATGAAACTCCGTTAAATTATTACACTTCCTGGGCTCTGCCTTATCGTGTCGTGGCTTTGAACATGCCTGTTCGGCTCCTCAGTGACTGTCACTTTATCTCAGTTTACATCAGACGTGTTTTCGTGTGTTCTCTGTGCCTAGCACTAAACTGTGTGCTGACGGTAAGAAGCTGGGTGAACCACCCTGCTTCCTGCATGAGATTTCCAAATAGAAATATTGGAAGAGCTTTGAGCTTAGGCTTGAAATGAGCAGCAAACCTATAGATGACCAAGCAATGGTGAAAATGCTGTTGACTGGCCTTTATCTTAGAGAAGACTGAAGAAGAGCCCAACCTATGTTGTTTCAGAAATAATAATTCCACTTTCCTCCATGTTTACCATCTGCTTGTTGATATTTCTTTTAGTTGGGTTGCAAATTTCAAAGGAAAATCATGTCTCCCTCTTAGGGTGTATCCTACATTAGATCCAGGAAACTTACATAGTACTGATATATAAATGATATGAGCTTATTAACTTTCTTCCTATTGACAATAAACTTTAATTACCTCAAACTTTTTATAACCTCACATTTCTTTTGGTAAAGCTTTGTTGAGATATAGTTTACCAATTGTAAAATTCCTCCAGGTGTAACTCCACAACTGTTAGCCTGTTTACAGAGTTGTGTTAATACAGCCATGACCACAGTCTTATTTTAGAATGTTTCCATCTCCCCCAGGGAAACTTTGAGCTGATTTACAGTTATTTTTCATTCCTGGGCACAGCCCCTGGCGACAACTCACCTACTCTCTGCCCACACTGATTCACTTTTACTGAACACTGCACAGAAGCAGAATCCTACCATGAGGCTGACATACTGTTTTTAAGGTTCATCCATGTTGTTACATGTATCAGTACTTTGTCTGAACTTTTTACCTTTAATCATTCTTCATAATGCTTTCAAGTATAAGTGAAGAGCTGGATCCTTTAATGAACAAAGAATAAACCTTTTGAAATTGGCATCAATTGTGGCACCATCTAGACTTTGCATTAGTTTTTAAAAAAACTGAAAAAGCAAAGTAAATGCAAATGACTCAATCACTCATTCATTATTCCTATTATTAGGGAAAT